AATTACAAAGATTTTTATATTTCATTACAAGTTTTATGTATTATGTTATTCTTGTGGAGTATTTTTAGAGGGCATTTTCGTATACTTCATCGAATAGAAACTTTATTAAAGAAAAATATTATTTAGCAAACATATGTATGTAATTGCATTGCGGTTGAAGTACATGTTCTTGCATACATAGATTTCAGTTTAAAAAATTTAAGTAAATGAGGTAAACAATTGAAAACAAATATCAGAAGAGTTACATACATATGTATATAAATTTCACATGAATTTCCCAAATGACTAAAAAATATTTTATATTTGCTTAAGTTTTTACTCAATTTAATTAAAAACCAAAACGAAATTCTAACCAATATTTTTCACTATTTTTAAACAGTAATTTTGCTACCTTTTAACTTGTACGTTCCAACCTTGTTATAAGTAGTATATTTTATGTATGTATGTATATAGCTATTTTGGTACGAAAACAAAAGATTATTTCTTTTCAACGCTTTTATATGCATGTATGTACGTTTTCATGTATGTATACGAATATTTATACATTTTTATGTATTCGAGTATTTATACATCTTGAATGTATGCATAAAAGTAAAGTATTTTTTTTTTATGTTTATTCACCTTTTATGTATATGTTACCCAGAATGAATGCTTTATACATTGTTTTTATGTATAAAAAGAATGTTTATTTATACATGATGTATGTATATGTTAAAGAAGATTATTTATACTTACGGTATGTACATGCGCAAGGTTCGGTATTGGTGTGCTGTTCTTTGAGAATGAGAGGAGAACAAATAATTTAAAGCGAAGCGTTTAACATTTGGTTAACAAAGTTTATACTGAGGTGTTGTAATGAAATTTGGCATTCATTTTGATTATTTTTTATACATATTTGTTTTACTGTAAATATTAAACAAATTACTCTATAATAATACCAAATAAATTTACAATTTTGAACACCCTATAAATATACATATAAAATCATTTAAAATAAATTCGAAAAAGAAATAATAACAATGGAAATATTTCGAAAAAGTGAACACAATTTCGAAATTGGAAAAACATTTACAAGTTATGAAGAATTAAAAAAGGAATTTAAATCTTTTTGTAAAGAATATTATCATCCTTTTGTGATTAGATCACGTTCTGAAAAGCAAGTCATTTATAGATGTTGTCACGGAATCAAACAAAGTTCTAAATCCCAAGGTATACGTCCAAATCAGCGTTATTATTATAAAGGTTGCGATGCAAAAATAAGCGTTTATAAAGGAAAAGATTCGAGTTGGAGAATTACAAAAATGTCACTTGATCATAATCATACGATCGGGGAGGAAGAATACAGTTCGTATGGTCGAGTTAAACAATTTGATGCTGATAATGATCCTGTTACTGATTTATTATGGGTCAAAATGGATGTAGATAAAACAGATGATCGTAATACTTTTAAAGTTGGAGCAGTTTTTAATAGTTATGAAGAGTTAACAAAAACTTTTAATGCATTTTGTACTGAAAATTATCATCCATTTATAATAAGGACAAGATCAGACAAACAAATTGTATATAAATGCTGTCATGGTGTTAAAAGAAATACTAAATGTCAAAGTAAACGACCAAATCAACGACATCAATTTAAAGGTTGTTTAGCTCAAATAAGTCTTTATAAAGGCAAAAATAATATATGGAAAGTAACTAAAACATTTCTTGATCACAATCATACAATTAGTGAAGAAGAATTTCATGAAAATAGTAGAGTTAAAAAATACTATGAAAATAATTTCGAAACAAAAACCAATCCCTATCTTACATCCAATGGAGAAAATTTAACATATAACGAGACTGATTCTCAAAATGTAATGATTCAAGATGAAAGTGGTCGATATGTAAGCATTTCTGCAACAAACTCTCAATACGTAGGTGGATTAGCAGCACATCATTCCGCGGAGTCTTCCGAAATCAAACTTGAAAATGCAACGTCAACAATACATTCAATTAATCAAAATGGAATTATTGTTGATTCTACAAACATTCAAAATAAATTGAATAATAACTTTAATGAACAAAATTATGATTATGGTATTCAACAAAACCAAACAGTTATTGATTCCCGATCTCAACATGGTAATATTGTTTCACAAAACAATTTTCAAAATGGAAGATTAAATACAAATCTACAAAATAAACTAATATCACCACAATCAAACATGCAATATGATGTAGTAACAGACTTTATTGCTCCACAAAAAACCATTACTGAACTTAAATCTCAAGTTAATAGAACTCATACTGTTGATCCTAATATAATACAAAATAGGTATAATGTAGAGCCAGTTAGTATATCAAATAGAACAGGTGTTGAAAATAATCCTAATACTCGTATCATTCAGCCGCCAACAGTACTTCAAAATAATTCAGTTGCTAATAAAAAACAGAAATCCGCTGTTGTTAAAAACATAAGTGCTAAAAATTTACAAAATATATCTGATGTAGATAAATTTAGTTTGGCATTAGATTTTACTAAAAATATAGCTTATACATTATCAAGTTATAAATTTGATATATTTAAAAATTATATTGAAGAATTGAAAATTATTGAAAGAAATGTTAAGAATGGTGTTTCACTTTTTACACCAAATACAAGTAGTAATTTTTCTGGTAACCGATAAATTTACTAAATGTTAAATTAAGTGATACTATAAACAAAAAAGTATTTATAAGTTAATATGTAAGAACTAAAATTGATTATAAAATTAAAAAAGAAACATGTTTTTAAAATAAGAATAAATATAAATATAAACTTATATTTTGCTATTCAAATTTGCTGTATAATTATAAAATTTTTATATCATAAGTGTAAACACTTTATTATGCATTCATTATAAGTCTAAATATAGAAATTGTCGTTTTATTTTTAATATTATTTTTTTAATATAGCTACAAATTTAAAATTTTTAAATAAATTCATGATTATTAAGGATAAAATTTTGTGAAATCATGGGGTAGTTTCAAGTTTTTTTTTAAATAAATTTAAAAAATTCTATTCAAAAATTTTTAATATTATTTCCAAATTGTACTATGTATACATTTAACAGGCAAACAGTGAAGAGGGAAAAAAGGTTTATGTTTACAATTATTTAAATTGCAAAAATCGTTCGATTTTTATCGAAATATCGAAATTTCGATATTCGTTCAAAATATTAATTCAGAGCTTTTGATTCCATTTCACCAATTTCTTTATTGTCCTGGTTTTGGTCGGTCAAACACTAATAAAATTTTTCTTCTAACCATTTGGATATTTTAGTGCATTTTAATATGTATTTCCAATCGTGTACCTTAAATTTTTGAACATTAAAATAGTAGAAAATATTCCACTAAATTATCAATCCAAATCTCTTAATACATATTTTGTATTTACATATTTAGTGAGTTTTAATTTGATTTTTACTTAAAAACATGAAAAATAAGAAAAGTCAAATATACATACATCAAAATGTATCAAAATTTACCAAGAAAATTTCACTCAAAAAATATTTAAATTTGTAAATGAAGTGTTTCGAAAATATTTACATACATAATTGATTACTTTTTTGAATCAGATTTTCAAAATTTGGAGTTGAGAGAAAAAAAAAACAATAAAAAACTTTCATACAAAATTTTCTAATACTAACTATTACTTTACGATTTAACACATTCATTTTAAAAACACTTGTCTGAATAAGTGTTAAAAAGAAATTAAAATATTAGCTTAATAATATTTCATATAAGCAAAAAATTTGGCCTTTAAATATAAATATTTTCAATGAAATAAACAACAATCGTTAATACAAAAAAAAAAACAAATATTATTTTTCAATTTTGGATTTAAATTTGGTGACATTAAGAATTGCCAGTGTGATTTTAAAATAGTAAATATGGGTTATCTTTGGTAAAGTAGTTTACGTTTGAATTTTTAACTTGAGTTTAAATAATTTAAAGAACATAACTGTGCCCCTGTAAATCACTTTAAAGTCAACAATTGTACAAAAATAAGGTAAAATTAAAACTCCAAAAAATGAGTTGAACTTCGGGTGCCTTCTAAAATGTTTTATAAAAAATTTTAGACTGGTTACTGGAACATATTTTTAAATGTGATATTTGTAAAGCGCTTTTTTGAAGTCACGGTTCTTTCAAATTTCAGTTTTAAAACTATAGTTTATAAACAAACTGAATGATATTTCAAACATACTTTTTAATAGTTCGTACACTATTTGATAGACAAATGGGCGGCCTTTGCAAAGTAAGTACCTATACTAAATAAGAATCAAATTATCAAAAACATTTTCATGGTACGGATTTCAAATTATTTACATATTTAATTTTTAGTTTAGTGAATAAATATTTTACTTTATAGGTTTTCTTAATAATTGGCAATTCTTTATAACAACTAATATTTTTTTTCAATAAATTTATCCTTTGCATTATCATTAGCTCCTACGCTTAATTTAATTTGAAATTTCCATTATATTGTCATGTTTTTCGCTCAGTCAAACTAACAACTAAATATTTCATTAAATATTTTTCTATTTCAATTTATTTATATTTGTTCTACTTCAATAAATATAAGAAGACAAACAAATTTATAATAAATAATTTTAAAATTTTTTGTAACTTTTTTAAAAAATATTAAAAAAAAAAAAACTATGTAGTTTTTTAATAATTTGGAAAACATAAAAAAAAAATATTTTCGTTAATAATTGTCTTGTATAACTTAGTTTTATTTTTTATTGTTTTTATTAACTGTTTGTTATTTATTTTAAAATGTCTTATAACTTTTTTAACCTCGTTTTCAATTTTTCTACTCTCTAATAGTTTGAAGGGAAAAAAATTTTTTAATAAATATTTATTTAAGAAAGTTCAATTTTGTTTTCGTTATTCTTTTGAATTTGTTTCAGTTTTGTCAACTTAAACTCGATTATTTTTTTTATATATTTAAATATATACAATATATGTATATGACTTACCTTGAGCATGTTTTTGTCTTAATTTGTTCAAAATATTTGTAGCATCAAAACCAGCATTATCACACAATTGTCTTGGTATAACTTCTAGGGCTTTTGCAATAGCACCTATTAAAAGTTGTTCTTTACCAGCAATTGTACGAGAATAGTCACGTAACATTTTTGATAATTCCATTTCAATAGCACCACCACCTGGAATTTAAAATTTTGATAAAAATAAGTATAAATATATACATACATGTACATATGTATATGTAGAAAATAAATTTTTTTTTATTATAAAATTTTTATTTTTAAAAAATTGAAAACAAAATTATTGTAAACATTATTTAATTAATTTTTTAATTTTTTATTTTCGTATTCTTAAAAATAAATAAAGAAACTGACAGTAATATTAAGTATGTACATTGAATATGGTATTTACATATACGTATACATTATGTATGTATTATTTACGTGAGTATGTTTGTAAAGTAAAATTATCTTTTGAAATTTATGACACGTGAAAATTTCGTAGACGACAAAACAAATAATATGTAAAATATTTTTTAACTTTTATTTTTATTTTTTTTTTGTAATTTTTTTTTATAAATGTTTTGTACCGCGCATGGTGTTATTTTTAAATCAAAATTTTTGATAAATTTTTAAAAATTTAAATTTGTAATACATACATATGTATGTATATATGTATACATGCAGCTTATTTCGAGAACAATATTTTTACTTTTAGTAGTTAAATACTTTTGCATAGTATTTCATGGCTCTTTTGTCGAGAAATTTTTGTAAGTTAAAATTTGAGTATAAGACAAGCATTTCAATTAATAAGTGCGGCTATATACTTAATTGCAAAAACTCTCGAGAAATGTTAAACAAAATTCGTCTTCGACAAAAAAGATAAGAAATTTTCAAAATTTTATTTAATTTTATTATAAAATGGGAAACGGGAATGTCTAATGAATATTATAAGCTAATTCAAAAAAACCATGGATCTTGAATTATTTCAAACTATTTTTTTATAAAATTCAACATCAAGAATTATAATTTTATATTAAATAAGTATTTACAATTAATTGAATATTTCACTTAATTTTTAAATAAATTTGATTTAAGAGATCCACAAAATTATTTTTATTATTTTGTTTATAAAATGTATGCACACATTTTTAATACACATATATTATTATTTAATTTTATTTTTGTATAACATTAAATGAGTATAAAAGAAGAATAAAATTCTATTAGATAAATGTATGTATGTTTGTATATGTATGTATAAGACTCCCACATTGAATAATTTGGGTTTATTTCAGATAAATTTTCATACTGTAACAGTTTTTATTTTTAATCTCATGAAAATTTAATAAATTTTCTTAAGAAATATTTTCATTAAAAAATTGATTAAAAAACAATTTTGTTTTTCATCCATTTAGATTAACTTTTGTTAGGTATAAAGAAGTAATAAATTTAAAAAAATTTATTTATGTTGATTAAGAAATAATGATTCATTTCATAAGTATGTATTTGAAATAAAATTTTGACATACATATGTATGTGAGTATGTACAATCGTTGGTATAAAAAGTCGAATTGTGTCTGCCTATATGTAAAAATTCAATAAAGTTTTCAAGTGTCGCTAAATTTGAAATTTTTGCAACATCATAACCTTCGATGCATCAAAAGCACTATGCTTAAGGTATTTTCTTAAATGCACATTCATATGTACATATGTGGTTTTATAAATTTATTTAATAATTAACGATTACAGTGATACGTGTTTAATATTTTGATGACATGTTAAAAAAAATATTGAAATAAAAATTCAAAATTTATAAATAAAACTACATATGTATGTATTTCGAAAAAGATGGTAGTCCAAAGGTCACAATTATATCGATCTATGCATACTTATATTATGACAACTTTTAGAATGCATATGCTTGGAGAAAACATAATATTCTTGATTCATGTATTATCATGGTCCCATCGATATGATAAATTTTGCGTTTTCAAAGCTGCTGTATTTGAAAATTTCGAATAATTTTAAGTTACAATACAATAAAATTAAACGAACGTCAATGACTTTTTATGTCATTGTACTATTATAAAAATTAAATTTATATTCAAACATAAGTAACTCTAATCAATTTTTCCTAAAATTCTATAATCAATTAATCAAAATTTATGTTTCGTATAGTAATGTTTTTTTGTATAATAAATATTTTGTATAACAATAAAAAAATTGTTGTCTGTTATATGATAACATAACAAAGAGTTAGTTCTACATATCGAAATCGTTATTTTTAATTTATACTAATTACTATGATGAATGATGGGTAGGTATTAAAAAAATATTTTTATATATGTAAGTATAAAAGAAACAAGAAAATAAAAAACAAACTATTCTTCCTATTCCCTTTCTCTAATTTTAAAATTTTATTAATTTATAAACGAATTTCAATATAAACACTTAATTCTAAAAATAAACATAAATTTTATATGAAAAATAGAAAAACAATTAAGTTGGGTCAAATCAATGGTTTGTAAAGTAGCATTTTTTCCTTTAACAAGTGAAAATACAACTTTTAAAAACGATCTACAATTCTACAACATTATTAAAATTATTTCAAAAATATTTCAAAGATTACAAATATCTAGGATGAAGCAAACAGAAGAGAAAAATTGAAAGAAGCAGGAACATGGTGCTCGAATTCAAGGGTTAATTAAGTGAGTTAAGAAAAATAAATATATATTTTATGGCATGGCATTTACCATCACTTCTCTGTATTTATAGTAATTTGGAAAAGTTTCTCGTAAATTCAATTTTACAAATTTTGGGAGCAAAAAATTTGATAGGAAATCGAGGTTGAAAAAAATTTTTTCTTCTAACGAAATAAGCTCCTGCAGCTTACCATCTCAAAGAAAAATGATATCAAAAATTTGAAAAAGAAACTATTCTATATCACGGTTGAAGAGGTCAATCACTCCTTTTTTGAATTTGTAGAATCTGAAAAATGCTTGTGGTTTCCTTGCGCAATATAGTCGAAAAATGTCATTTTTAGGACTTTAGGGGTAACAGAAAAGCAAACAGATAGCAAAGGATAGGCAAAAATTTTCTTTTACTAAAATAAGTCTCTGATAAAAATCTATTAACGCACAATTTCAGCTTTATATCTTAAAGATTAGAATTTTGGTAAACAGACACATGGACAGATGGACAAAAGCATAGATAGACGAACAGAGTGAAACTAATAAGCACATATTTCAAATTTTTCTTTTTGGAAAATTGCTAAAAACGAACAATATGAAAAACAAATTAATTTTATATATGTATTTTTATTAGTAGAAAAATTATTACGGTCTTTTTAAATATTCCATTCCCTAATGTTTTTTGAATTTTTTTAGGAAATTTAAACCGAAAGCAAAAAAAACAACACAAGATTATATTCTTGTTTTTAAATCTATCTAAAATTAGTTAAATCAGTCAAGGTAAAAATTTTGACTATAGTTATAAAAAAAAAAAAGATAAAGTTGATGAATAATAAAATTACTGTTCGAGAAATAAAAAAGTAACAAAATCAAAAAAAAAAAAAATTGTCATCCAAAAGTTTTTTTTTCTTATACTTATTTTTAATTAATTATGGTAATTTTATTATAAAGCTTCCACTACAAAGTTAGCACTTAACAATAAAAGATATATGGTCATTTTAAATGTGGAAAAGAGGTGGAGCGGAATGAAGATTATTAACAGATAATTTGATTTGGTTTTTTTTTCTTGTAATTTCTTACGGGCTAGGCTATAAGAAAAGTTACCGTTTTGTTTTTGTTGTTGAATTGAAATTTTGTTTTAAAATAAATTTATTAAAGTAAAAATATAATATTTACACCCAAAAACAATAATATTAATAAAATACAGCCGGATTTCTATTTGAGGAAAAAATATTATGCATATGAGCTTATACATATGTATGTATGTATAAAAATTCAAAATAACATCTACGTAACATACTTAGAGATGTACATATATAAGTACGTGCATACATATGCAATTTATACACTTATTCGTAATCATGTGTATGTTCATATATAAATGTTTTTATTATAATTTTGAGCAAAATAAAAATGAAGCGACCAGCGACATCATTCGATATTACAGCACACGTTTTTTTTTATTTTAAAAAGACAAAAACACAAAAATAAAAATATTTTGTATGCATTTCTGTTTAATTTTTATATTGTGTTTGTTTTTGGTTTTGTTTTATTTTATGACAAAATTTTTTAATATAAAATATGTAGTGACATACACACATATGTATATGAATGTGCTATGGTACATTTATACTTGCCACAAAAATTATATTGGACTGTGTGAATTGTTATAGCGTGGTGAATTAATTTAAAAAATTGGAATTTATAAAATTTCTTAAATTATTTTAAAGTTTAATTTGGCAATCCCATTAAAAGAAAATTGTAGCACAGTTTTTTAAATTCCAATTAAAGCTGGAAATTTTAAGAAAACAATCTCACTGTACCGCAAAATGGCTTAATTATTAGAAGACTTTTGAGAGTAGTAAAATGTAAAAAAAAATTAGTACAAAAGCACAAAAATTAAATTTCAGTTGTCCAAGCAGATAGAGAATTTTGACATATTTCAGATTTGTTTCAATTGTTTAATAAGTTTAAAAAAAAATTTTAGGGTTTTGAAAATGAACTGGAACTGTTTTAGCATAATGATTTATTGCTCCGATAATGAAAATTAAAAATTAAGTTTTTAATAAATTTCCACAACTAAACCAGTTAATAATAATATGCAAACTTTTCATAACGCTTGCATTAAAATATTCCAAAAAACATTAAAACAAAAAATCAAGATCCCATAATAATTAGCCCCAACAAAATTAGTATCTTTTAAAATTACTATAATACCATTTTTTCTATAACTCACTCTGTACTTAACTTTTTAATGGACAATTTATTTATTTATGCGAATGATAAAAAAAAAATATCATGACAAAATAAAATTTCTTACAAACGATGAAAAAAAAAAACAAGATTAACATACGATATTACGTGGGATTTATTACCCTGCTACCACACACAGTAATCGATAACATTTTTTTCTGCGGGCCATATAATAAATTTATATATGCAGTAATTATATTGTGATTAATATACATATTTTGTGTTTCTGAATAA